TTTAGACTCCAGGAAATTACCGTACGGTGCACAACCATCCAAAACCTCCAAACACCCAGTAAAACCCAGAGCCAGCAGAGAGAAGACGTCATGTGTCACTTAATGAGTTTTAGAGGCACTGCTTTGTGCTGCGTCGACACTTTCAGATATAAATATGTAAAGGAGTAGTTCAGATCTTTTAAAGTGGGGTGTTCTGGAAACAGTTAATATTTTACCTGTTGTAATTTGAAAAAAATTCAATAATTCTGACTGTATTTATGAACAAATATCAAAGTATTTTACTGCCAACTTTCAGAGTCTCTAATTTGAAAAATTACGCTAACTGTATTTTATAAACTCGTACATCTTGATTGGGTTATATTGTGAGAAAAACATGATCAATAATTGGAAGTCAGAACAAGTTTGTTTGAAAACAAAATAGATTCTCTTCTAAAAATCTTTATTAAACGATTCCATTTCGGTTTGCTCCAGCCTCTGTCAAGAGCCAAGTTCTGTGAGTTTGAGGCCTTGAGTCTTATCAGAATCATAACAATAACAACCCTCTCAGCAGCAGCCCAGCATCTGTCCCAGGCTGCTCTAAAAAGAATGATGAATTACCCTGCTAATGTACTGTACATAAACCTAACTTTAACGTCAGACACTACAATATAAAACAAGCTTTTGATTGATAAGAGACTTCAACTGCAAATGATTAAGACTGGATCCAAATTTCAGTTAATCAGTCACAAAATGTTCTTTGAATTAAATATGATTATTTACGCTAAAGGTTACATTGACTAACCACTATAAATCTTTGTGGTTTTAAGTTTACACATTAATTAAGCTTTATTTATTTTTATCCTGTAATCTCTGTAACAAGTTGACAACGTCATGTAGCCGAAACACGTCGTGCTTTCTGCCCTTATTAAAACAATAGTATTTTTTGGAGTGCTGGTTGTCCCATTTTTTTTGATCCTTCAGAACCAGGCACCCATTTACTCTTTTCCCTTTTTATAAGGAAATTTGAGTTGTGCGCACTAAAAAAATTTTATTATTATTTTTATCTTGACCATTCCATTTTACAACAAAAGTTTTATATAGAACCGTGTTTGGTAATAATCCACAGATGCCTCAGTCTTCTCTGTAATTAGACTAGTCATTAACTCATCAATCCAGTCAGAATTTCACTGTTTTTCTCCAAACTATCTAAATCTAAGATGGCGGCGGTGGCGGCAGTTGTATGTAGCTGTGCAGTATCGCTGCAGGAAAATACATCCAATTTGGCTTTACAGGCATCTGCAGGTCTGTTTTTGACCAAATTTACCTCAGCTTTAGTGTTGCTGTTACTCTGTATGCTACATAAACGGAAGATCAAAGACGCAAATGACGGACATCATTTTTGAAAAACAACAGCACACAATCGTCCTATGGCGCGTATACAAGCATCAACCATAAGTTATCCTAACTTTGGTAAATATCATCTATCTTGCCGGTTGGGCTGGTTTCTCCGGCTTGCTGCTGTTGCGGCGTGTCTCGGTGGAGTGGCYGATGTGGATGGAGTCCCTCGGCCCTCGGATTGTCCCTCGTATTTGGACGGAGCGCCTGAGGTGGACTTGCCGGCCTGGACGCGTGGCGGTGGGAGCCGGGACGGAGCGACTAATCTAACAAGTGAGGCYTARCAGCTTCCCTGTTGCCTATTTGGATCAATATCAGCCATGCCCTGTTTTTCGGTTGAGGATCAAACTGGAGCTACTGGTTTTGGTAAGCATGCTCGTGTCCGACATGGTGGGAACCATGTTATAAAAGCCTTGAAGTGTGCGCCATTCAGCGAAGAAAAGAACAGCAAGCTACTGACTAGCTTCAGAGCCTCACCTGATCGGGTAGTAATTTGGGCCTATGTTACTGTTTTTCATCAGTGGACAAAAGACATTAGTGCTAAAGGCACGGATATAACAGACTCTGTTTTAACCAGTAGGAAACAACATTTAAGACTTCTGTTTAATATTCTTTTAGTCATTGGAAATATTGAACTTAATCCAGGTCCAGATAAAAATGTTTTTATGTCCACTTTTTTATATTTTATGGGATTTTATACATATGTTTTTAATAATTATCTTGATATGGGTTTGTGCACAGGTGTATCTTATATAAATCCAACTCAATTACAGTCTACACAGGGATCTATATTATATCCTGAAAAGGTTAGACAACCTCCTGTTATGTCAAGTCTGAACACTGCATCAGTAAGAAAGCAAAAGAGATTTTCCTGTCTGAAAAAAATCCAGGGACGCTAAATCAACTAGGTGAAATTAGAGGCTTTAAAATCTGDCATTTAAATATGAGAAGTCTTGTACCTAAACTGGATCAATTCAAAGTAATACTTGCTCAGACACAAGCACATGTTATGGCTGTATCAGAATCATGGCTGACTCCTGCTATACCAAATTCCTTTCTTTCAGTTGAAAAATATTCACCCAGGAGACATTTCAATATAACAAATCAACTCACTTTTTTAAACAAACCCCTTGATATTTTCACTACCTACAAATATCTTGGAATTACTTTGGATTCTCATTTGACTTATCGTGATCATGTACAAGTCTTGACCACTAAGTTGAAACAGAAATTATACGTTTATTCAAAAATTAGATCCAATCTGACATCTTCTGTTTCAAATATCTATCTTCATGCTTTTATACTCTCAACCATGTCGTACTGTTTACCTGTTTGGTCTCTTACAACAAATGAAATCTTAGAACCCATAGTCAGGCTCTACAACAGGGCCTACAAAATTCATAAAAAACTTCCTGGTTGGACTCATCACTGTACAGTTCTTTCATTGTCTGATGCCTTGACTTTTCAGAATTATGTTTTGTATAGTGGTATTAATTTATATTTTCAGATCTTCCAAGGTGCCAGTTATGGAACTCTCTGTGCATTGTTGCCCAAATCAAATTCTGGAAGTGGTCATTCAACTAGATCTGTTACAAAAGGACAACTGATATTACCAACTTTTAAAAACTGTTACGGCCAGAGGTCTTTCTTCTACGTTTATACTAAAGCATGGAATGACATTCCTCAAAACATAAAGTCCATTTCAAAACTACAGCCCTTTAAGAAGAATCTTGTCTGCCATCTGCTGGACACTTTTTGTTGTGCTCATATTTAGACGTCCTATTTTGCAAATGCTGCCTTCCTGAAATTTGGTATGCTTGTTTGTCTTTGTGTCTATGGTGTATAATGATGTGATTGTGATGCTGTAATTCTGAGTGTTTATGTGCTGCAGAACAGGAACCTGCTGGAAAACAGCAATTATGCTGAGTCAGGCTTGATTTTTAGTWATCTTTTCCTGTTAAATAAATAAATAAAATAAAATCAAACTGAGGTTGTTTAAAAAATCTGCAACTATTCCTACAAATGTTTGCATCCAGTTTATAAATTGTGTTCTGCAATAATTTTCTGTTAATGTTTCTTCAGATTTAACCAAGAGCTATTAGAAGACACTTTGTAATGTTGAGTTCCTTTAAAACATTTTGGTTTCTTTACGAAGAAGACTTAAAGCAAACGTTAAGGAAAATTACAACATTTTAATATGTTGATTGAGGTGGTTTTTGCAAGGGTTTGTTCTTTAAATGAATATATGCGGATGCAAATTATGCAAATTGGTTTTAGTGCAGAAAACATGGTAATTGTGGGAATGATTACACAAACAAGAACCGTTTCTGTTAGAAGAAGCAAACTATGACAACCGTTTCAAAGACTTCCTGAAAAGTTCATGTTTTCCTCGTGTACGTTCAAGGAGGCTGGTTTTCTTTGCATCTTCCTCTTTAAAATTTGAGTTCTATCAGAAACCCAACTTATAATGATAATATAATGAAGCTTAATATGTCAGGAATAATTGGAGAGTAATTGGAAACTATAATAAATAAATTAGTGTTAAAGTCTGAGGATGGTTTTCGTTGATCAAAAAAACTGTAAACAAGCATCAAACTAGTAGATGAGACACTCTGGTAAAGACAAGACATACAGTGGTGTTTAGTAAAACACACACAAAAGGGAGAAGCCCCAGGTATTAATAAAACGATAAATCAGGTTGTAATCGTGCTGAACCAGGCGATAAAGCTGCACTGGAAACAGAAGTCAGAGTCAATGTTGATGCACTTCATGGTGCTTTTATGACCTGGATTTGGTGAAAGGGTTCATTTTGCACAAACACACATGGGCTGTAAAAGTGTAAACGGCTTGTTTTGGATTTTCCAACGAGGAAGTGTTGAAGCACAGAAGAAAAAACGAGTGCAGAGTCATCTTACCCCATTCCCTTCTTTTTTTGTTTTGTTTTTTCACTGAGTTCAGTTGGGGTTTAATGAGAAAACCAGAAGCTTTTTCGTTCTGTTTTTCTTCCTTCGATCTGTCTGAAAGAAGGAGAGATGTAATCAGTTACCTTTCCTGTACTGGAAGTACTCTAGCAGCAGGTGAAGAGGGGAAAAATAGGGGAAAAAAAGAAGAGTGGGATGAAAAGCAGTAGCAGTAAAATGAACAATCTGTACCTGTTTGTAAGCCAAGCAGACTCAGACAGATTCATTCATCCTGTCTTTAAAACTCCCTTTTTTCTCATTTCAGGATAAACACCCAAATGTCCTCCTTTTTTTTCCCACCTTGAATCGTCCCCTCGGCAGTTAAAATGCACAGCGTGTCCGACACAAACCAGCCACCATTATCTGTCGCTGCAGCAACCGGTCAACACAATTAGAGCCAAAAGGAAGGAAGAATGAAAAGAAAGAAAAGCATCTCTGTGATTTTTTTTGTTTTTTTTTTTTCTTTAAACGGTGCTTAAATGGTTGGAAACGGACTGAAACAACAAAAACAGAGTGTGTCAAAAGGAAGAGAAATAGAGGATGAGGTCAGACTGGGTTTTTTTTTTTTTTCTTTTTTTGGTCCCACAGAGAAAAATCTCTTTAAAAAACACAAACAGCCCCTGGAGAAACACAGAGAAGCTTAAAGATTCGCTTTGGAGAAATATCTTGTGTTTTTTAGAGATATTTTTATTTTCAAATGTATTTGCAGACAGCACAGCTGTTTCAGACGCTTACATATACACACATAGATACTTTACAGAGAGTTGATTAGTTTATCTTTCAAAATAAACATTCAAAATTCAAAAAATATACATATCTTGTGCAGAAAGTTGCTCTTGGGATTTGACCACAAAACCCTTTTATGTGTTTCCAAACCTGAATTAGTTCCTCAAATCCAACTTACATGCCTCCAGAAGTTTGTTTTTAACGAAATGGCTCCATTTTTTTTGCCTGTTTTCAACCAGATTTATTGTAATAAATCGATCCGAAAAAACAGAAACAAGATCCTCTCCTTGTGGCAAAGTCCTGGACACAAACACACTCCAGATCCGGTCACATTCTCTGCTTCACATTGTATAGCTGAATGACACAGTGCAAAACCACAATTCCAAGCCCAGAGAAAAAAAAAAAGCGAAGCCGCTCTGTCAGCTTGTGTAGGCCATCCCTTGGATTTCTGTGTGTCTGTTCGAGTCAAGTGGTTGGCTCCGGCCACACTGTGGCTCGCTAACCAATTATGGGTTTGACCAAGCAAACACTTTCCCTCTCCACGATGCACACAGGGTGGCCCAACAGTGGTTGCGTCCCCGTGTTTCAACTAAAATGCAGCCATAATGTGATCTCTTTTCTTTTATTGTAACTGCTTTTAGTTTACTAGTTTTTCTGCAGTCCACAGACAGAGTTAACGGAGCTCCCTGCTGAGCTTCAGCCTTGTTTCTGAGAAAGAGAATAAGCGTTTGGGATTTTAGTCCAAGAAGAAAGTCAAATGTCTCCCAAGTTGTCGTAGATGAGGTCAGGTGACCTCATCTGCGCCTTGTGGTTCTGTTTGTACCACAGATGAGCCGGCGGAGGCTTCTGTTTCGATACTTTGCTGTACACTTCCTTCCCACCTCCTCCGGCGCTCCACATGTTGTTGTTGTTGTTGACGTTGCTCCCGTGTTTTCCTGGCGGCAGGGGCACCGGCTCCTTCCGAGCGAAAGGACCCTTGTTCGGTTTGGGAGCGGTGGCGGGTTTGGGCCACCGTGGCGCTGGAGGTTGTGGTGCGCCACGGCCTGGTATTTGGGACTCTGACTGCTTCCCCTTAGAGGGGCTGCTGTAGGTGCCCTCAGGTCCTGATGGGCCCCCCACCTCTTCCAGTCTCCTCGGGGTGGGGGGTTCCAAACGGGCCTCGTCATAAATAGTCATCCCTAAATGACCCGATACGGTACTTCCTTTAGCACAGCCTTCAGGTTCATCGTATATGTGATCCGAAGACGGGCCAGGAGGTGATGAAGACCCGTCCGGGGGTCTCTTGTCATTTTTTCCTCGTCCTGCTCCTCTTCCTCCCCCCACGCCTCCGTTCAGCTTCAAGGCGTTTGTTTTCTGGTTCAGGTCCTGGCCGATCTGGTCGTACACATGCGAGTACAGGTCTGGTACTTTTGTTGTCTTGTTGTTTGCTCCAGGATGGTGATCCCCCTGGACAACACCTCCAGAGGCATCGTCTCCAGCTGGTCGATTGCGTGGTGTCGGCACGGGGGGTGCGAGTGGACCGGGGGTTTGGCTCGAAACTTTAATGCTGTCCACTGGGTCTGAATAAAGACCATCGGACCCGTGCACAGGCATGCGGACTGAGTCTGCTGGCTCAGAATAAAGAGCGGTAGTTTCATCGAGTGAGGACGTACCTTTCCCTCGAGGAGACCGCGGAGGCGTCCCACCTCCTCCCAAAACCACCAGCATCCCTGGAGGTTCTGGTAGACTCCTCCCTTTGATTCCTGCTCCTTGCCCCTTTCCTCCATCACCTCCTTCTCTCTTTCCGAGAACCCCATCAGCCGAGCCTGGTTTGCTGCCGCCCGAGTCGCCGTCCGCCTCCCGGCTGCTGCAGCTGCTGCTGTCACCGCTTCCCGACGTCACGCCACCGGGAAGGGCGTTCCGAATGTTCTGCAGCGAAATCGGGCAGTCGGACTCCAAGCTCTGGGGGCCACTGAGGTGGCGGTCCTCTTCCAGATCTTTCTGCAGTTGGATGGCCTTGTCCACCAGCGAGAAGATCTCGTTGCCTTGCTTTGTCTCAAAGGTGAAGTTGCCGGGACCCGAGTCGCACCGGCGGCCAGCTTCGAAGGAAAACATCACCTGAAGAAAGAGACAAAATTAAGAGAACGATAAATATACTTTTTGTGAAAATCCTGATTGAATAAATCCCTAAATGAAACTGGAAGTTGTTGGATGTTCCATCCTTTTCACAAGTAGATAAACTGAACGTTAAGCTTCCTTCACGCGACCACTTGTGTTGATTAGCTTGAATTTAAACTTCCTCTTCTTGTTTTGGGTCTGGCACTCACCCGGTCCCTTCCGTATCTTCTCAGCAGCTTGTACGGCCACACCAGGGTTTTCCTCTTTGTCTTCGGGTCCTTCAGGATCAGCACGTCGTTTTCTGCTTTCAGCCAGTAATTTCCTGCAAGTCCACAGCGTTCGGATGCGTCGGTGCGTTGGACGGTCACCCAGAACTCATTCACTGCAAAAAATTACAAAACACAATTCTTACTCTAAGTTCTTAAAAAAAAGATTTTTGCTGTAATCTTCAGACCTAAAGCCTGTAACCTTACCCTCCTCTCTGGAGTAATAGATCATATTTTCAGACATCTTCAGGTCCAGAGGTCCTCCGTTACAGTCTGAAGTGGTGCCGCTCCCGTTCCCTCCCTGTTGGACACAGAAATACCGAGTCAGCATTCAGTTGTTTTCCTGTTTTCCTCGTATGTTTTTCTTCCCGTCAAACTACTACTGCACGCTTTGTGTTTTTTATTATTTATTTTTGTGTTAAACATTCATCTCGTTCAGGAGATGGTTGTTATGACTTTTGTTCTTTGTAGCTTTTATAATTTTCACTATAAAAACATATAGAAATCTTCCTTCATAAACATTGTTTTATTTTAAATCTATCTCAGCATGCTGGCTCTAGTTTGTCTGTTTGAACTATTTTTAGTTAGTTACCTTTTGAAATGTTTAGATAATCTTATGCTGATTTAGTTTTAACTCGCCTTCTGCTTCTTTTGACTTTTAAATATAAAACGCTACAGAGACTGTAGTCTGCACCACAAGGGTTTGTGGGTGTTTTTTGTACACATACAAAAATATTTAGGTCAGAACACAGTTTGAACTAAACTATGAAATCTTTTTTAGCTTTTTCCATCAAACTACATTTCTTTCTTTGTGTGCTTAAAGACTAAAATGCTAAGACAGAAGAAACACGTCGGATGGAAGAGACAAACGTCTTTAAGCACAAAAAGGAAGTCCTAAAAAACATGTCCGCCCACGTCTGCTCTGCTGCAAACTCTGTTTCCTTTTTCCAAACCGTCTGATTGTACTGGTCACCCTGTTTTTGTTTTTGTTTTTTTGGCAGAGAAGCTGAACAGAGGTGTAGAGATACCTGAAATGCGATTTCACACATGGTGTCCATCCACTCCTTGGCGGTGTTCTTTTCCGCGGCGAACACGTGCATCTTGTCGTTCGTCTCCACGCAAAACGCTGCCATGTTTTCTTTGGGACAGGTCTCGGTCACAGCGGGCAGAATGGAGATGCACTCAGACAGGCGGATGATCTTCTTGTCCAGCTTCCGGGATTTCTCGTTGGAGGTGCCTCCGGAGCCGCCGACGGACCCTCCCCCGCCCGAATGCGAGTCGAAGAACTCAAGGCGGGCGATGCCGTTCTGGCTGGCGGGGTAGAGCACGAACCAGTTTTTCTTCCATTTCTGATGGATTAAAAAATAAAAGTTAATTACTGAAGAAACAAGCTGCATAATGGCTGCATCTTTATATCATCTTTATTACATTCACATTAGAATAAAGGCTGTCCTTCTAGACTCTTCTTTATGGTTCTACTTAGAAATTGGAAAAACAACAGTTTGTGCATTTTGTGGCTTGGTTTAAACTAAAAGTGAAAGGTACAGAACAGGATAGAAAGGCTAAAAAGGATGTGAGAGGAAGATGTTGGTGAACTGTTATCATCAAAACAAACAAACTGTGTGGCCCGTTTAAACAGTTTAGATAAAAGGAAAAGTACGGCTAGATGTGGACACAAATAATTAAAACATATGAGAAAAGAGGACAATGTTGCTGCTTCTTGAGTCCAAGTGGTATTTCAGGTCTTTTATTTAAAGACTGAGGCCTCATGTGGGAGGAATGTGTTGAAAATGAAATGCAGTTGGACTGAGTTGTTGCACACATCACTATTTCAATCTACAGCAACGCACCACGGGCACGATTAGTCACTCATAACTCTGACAACAATCTAATCACCTCCCAAAAAAAAAATCAAAGTCAGCACTAATCAGGTTTTGTCGTGCAAGAAGTTCAAATCATTAAAACGTTCTGAGTTCTACGTTCAATGAAAAAAAAATCATGTTATACGTATTTGACCTGATAAAACACTAAACCTCAACCTGATTTAAATACTGCAGGGAAAGAGCTGTGCACAAACACGATTATGTGCAATTAACCCACACTGTAAAGAAATATAGACGTTCCTCTACAGCGCCATCAGAGGCTCATAAAGTCATAAAAACGACAGTTACTTGAGGTTAATAACACTAAGCAGCAGCTTAAAACCATCTCACAATGCACTATATATTATGAGCTGAAACATAAAACCTTAAAACTGAAAAAGGGTTTACTTCCTGTTCACTCATTTAGGAACCGTAACTTGAAATAAAGAAGGTAGCCAGACACTCATAGGCTGACAGGCAGGTTCACTATTTCTGTAGGGTTTGCAGTAATCCATGTCTGTTTATTGTATTGTTATTTTATTCTTTCGTAAAGCACTTTGGGATTTGTTTTTGTGAAAGGTGTTTTATTAGATACAGTAAAAAAACATCTTAATTTCTCATAAATACTGTACTTTTCTCACTCATACACCCAGCATGTACAGGGCAAATATGAGTTTTTAGCTATAATCCTTCCAATTACCTTTAAAATATTTTTTCTCTGCTGTCTTCATTCGATGTTTGGAATTGCTGTGAAGCTTTGGGATTCCCCCTTTTTTAATATATGGCTTGAATTACTGATGATATAAATCTAGATCGATAAAAATCAAGTTTTCAAACCGACATACTTGTAAACAAAACTAGCTTGTTGCCTCCTGAAAGAGTGAAAAATGCATCTTGGGTCAAATCTGGAAGACAGGCTTTATCATTTCACCTTGAGGAAACAACAGCCAACAATGATTCCTTCCTGTAAAAAAGGACAAACATCACGGCACACACCACCAAACAATGACCAGGCTGCAGCTGTCGAACACCACATGCTCAGAAGTAACAAAAGAATAAACAGTGACAAAACTTTTTGGCAGAAATCACAACAGTACACATGTACGCAGGACAGCTAAATGCTTACGATTTGGGAAATCCCTCTCTGTCGTGTTCTGTAGCCTCATCAGACTTGTGCCTCGTTTCGTTACATTACGCCCAGAGTTCAGGTTTATTCATGCAGCAAATCGAAAACTGAGAGCGGCGCTTGTGACAGGAAGGTCAGCATCTTTATAAAAATACTTTGACCGGCAGGGAAAATCCAGATAAAAAGGGACAAACACAGAAAAACACACACACACTGGCTTTAAGTCATCGTACGTTCTCTAATAAGTGTTCGACTATGACATGTGGCTGTGAGCTACAACTATATGTGACTAAAATCATTGTGGAGAGGGAAGCACCAAGAGCTGTTGTAAAGAAGTTAATGACTGACATACAGGAAACTAACCATATTGTTGTGTTAACATTTGCAGTTACTTCTTTATGTTCAACAGATCAACTGATGTGTGACATTCTAAGGGGGATCCAAACAATAAGAAAAATATCTGAACTGGAGTCAGTTTGATGATTCCGCTTCTGCTTTTTCCACAGCGGTCTTGTCAACAAGTTGTCTGTTGACACCTAATTGCTGTGGAAATTGAATCACAGTAAATACTGAAGGTAAAACAAACACAACAGATGTTAGAACTGCTGCCACCACCGTCCTCTGACACGCTGCCGCCACAACCTCAATATGGACGGACCATCGTGAACTAATCGTGCTCTATCATAAGTAACAAGGAGCTCATTGTGCTTCTAATACGCAGTTGCCTGCGAGAGCTTCAAAGATGTATTAATGTCCTATGGTATGGTCATGGTGAGTGGGGAGCTTGTGATCCATAAAGGGGTCTGAAGAGTTCTTTTCCTTTGACTGCTCAGAGCCAGGCAGTAGCCTAAGTAGTCCAAGGCAATATGAGCCGTCCACAAGCTAAGATCTGAGCCATTAATTGGTTCCCATGCCTGTCTGCAAATGCTTATTTTAAGATATTTTTTTAATTAATGCCTCAAAATAAGCGTATGCTGCTTTAAAGACAGCGTTGACAAGAAACTACATATCCCATAATGCATATCAATTATTTTACCCATGAAATGATGACATTGCACCACTAGGCGGAGCTGCACTGGGTTCAAACGTAGCCAGCAGCTAGCGTAATTTGTTGTGTAAAATCTACATTGTACTACATTTTCGTTGGCTACTTTTGCTGCGGAGAAGTTTTACTCAGTCATAAATTTGAACTGGAACGCCGCTCCGGTGGGAATTCCCTGTAAAAAAAACTGGGATACTTCAGAATTCAAGACAGCAGCTACTCACCACAACTCAACAGTGAGTAAAACTCTTTCACCGTTAACATTATTTCTTTATGGTGACTGCCTGTTGGGGTTCGGGGCCTCTGGGCCTGTCAGGCTTTGGCCTGGGGGGGTGGGGGGTGCGCCCTCGGGGCCCGGACCTCTGCGCCCTTTCCTGGTCTGCTTTGGTATGGCGGGTGCCGGTGGGGCCCATGAGTTTGTCGCTGCTGGCCCCGGGGGCTGTGCGTGTGGTCGCTGGGGGGACTCTCCCAGTTCTCCCCTATGGTCTGATCTGTGGGGGTAGGTGGGCAGACCTTCCCGTGCCCACTGGGGCTCTGCGCTCGGGATCCCTCTCGGGCCCTTGGACTCTGGTCTTCCC